TAATTAAAATAAATTTCAGTTTTCCATTTTTAATAGAATTCCAATTTTCATCCAAATGCAGCTCACAAATAAGCAAAAAAAATCTAGTAAATAAGTATGTCATTTGCCATCTTCTAACAAAATTTAAGAGTTATGTGAATGAATGTTGAGCTACATAACTGCTTAAATAAGCCTGTATAGATACTGTATCCCCCTAGTACACAAAGTACCACCAAATTTGGTATAAAAGCTATATTTAGTTGCAAATCAACATGCTTTAATATAGTTATACCAACCAATAAGAATGAACCTCTCAAGGAAAATACCTGAAAAATGCAAATGCTAAATAAGATTAAAATTAATCATTTAAATTAATCAACCATCCCAAGGGATCTCCACGACAAAAAATGGAACATAGGGAGAAGCAGAAGTTAGAACTAGCTCTGGACTCTTGGGCAACATGTCAAACATGCAGCCTCGCCACTGAAAAATAAATAGGTGATTGATGAAGCAGTTCCATTTCTTAGATGTTTTCCTCTGCCAGTTCTGATGCTGCCATGGCATCAGTTCTTGTAGAACTGAGTCCTGAAACCGGAAGACACTAGGTAGATTCTGATACTGAAGGAGGAGGACATGGAGTTCCAAAGACCTAATATTGGACTTTTGAGACGTCATGAGAGCCAGAATATCTGAAATATTATACACACTGCTCTTAAGACATACTTGGACATTACACAGTGGTTGCCAGTTTCTTCGCTGTCTTTTTCTTCTCCTCCTGGAGGAGGTTTACTAGAGAAAATATATCTTCACAAACATGAAAACAGGAGAAAACTGACAGCTTGGCCACTGGCCACAGAGACTACATCAAGAGGAGACTTTCTATCTCCAAAAGTGAATCTTCTTAGCATTCTTATCCATGGCTAGATCCAACCTGCCTAGGGACTTATTTCACAGACTGCTGAACACCACAGAGTCAGGGATGTCCTTAGTCAGATCTGGCAGCCCATCATTAATGGGGAAAATTAATTTCTCTTTCCTCAAGCTCTAGGATATTAACAGCCAGTCTCTTCTTGGCTAGATGAAGTTTTCAATTCCAGAACCTCCATCATAGATCTTAACTTCCGGAACTGTCTGAAACAGTATGGTGGTGAGACAAGAAATCCAAACATCTGAGTACAGAAATTCATTAAGATTACCTTAAACTTTGCCCTCAGTGATGTCCTGGAAAAGTAAGAAGATTGAAAACTGTATCTTACCCTCCCCACAAATGACCTCAGATTGTAAGAGCTAAAATAATTTAACAGCAACTGCACCAACTCAGGTCTTCTTCACGGTCATACAGCCCAAATTAAAAAACTCACCTTAGCAGAGTGGAGTTTGCTATTTGTTTAGTAGCCCAATCTTGTAAGGTACTGAGGGTAGTACTCAGCATCTTGCAAAATTGGGCCTTGTGAGTCCATGAACCGAACAATTATCCAAGTATGATTAGACAAGAACTAAAGTGTCTCCATAAGCATGCCTTCTATAACCAGATCAGGTTATATGACTTGCAGAGATAAGGTAATTTTAATACTTAATATGGAATTGTCAAATGCTTGTTTCTTGATAATTAACATTCAGTATAAATTTCCTGACTTTTTAATGATGATCTAACTGCTTAACTACAACATTCTTGTAAGGCTCTTTACCCTCATATCCTCTCAGTCTTAATGTAGTTTGAATAGGAATAACCCTACTTGCTCTCCAGTCGAGCCTTCCCAAGTACATTTCTGAAGTAAAGAGACCAGTGGAAATTTTAAAAATAAATCTTTTGGGCTTTCATTATATCACAAAGCAGCAAAAAAAAAAAAGTCAACTTTTTTTTGGCTTTGCAGCTCACTTTATAAAAATATAAGAATTAGAAAAACAGATAGTTATAAATCATAACCAAGTTTCAATTTTTTCAAAAGCAGTTAGTGCATGTGTCCAATCATTTTCTGTCTGCTAAAGGGAAAACTCAAAAGCCAAATGCTTAAGATGGGGAAATAATTTGCACATGATGGAAAACATCAAAACTAGTCTACATCTTGTACTAGGCATATTGTATGTTTAAGCTGTGTAGCCACATCAGAAAAGGAAGCAGTATGTTATATTAAACAGCAATCAATAGAAGCCCAGTTAAAGCTGAAAACTACTAGTAATCCCTCAAGTTATCCTACACTTGAGCACTGAGGGAGGCTAGAAGTCACCGCAAGCAGCAGAGCTGTGCATTGATGCCTTTCGATGTAACGCCGACTCCAGGATCCTTTGGACAAGAAAGCAGCGCCATTACCTCCAAGCGCCCTTCGCCTCAAAGGCGCCTATCACAACTTTACATCCAAGAGGTTCTACAACCAGAGTTTCACACCCTCCCCACCCGCTCCGGACAATGGGCATCAAGTGCAGGGCACCCTGCTGCGCCCGGCCCAGTGCGACGCTGGGGGGTTGCGCAGGCACCGCGGAGCCCATCCGTCGTGAACCTACATCCGACCCGCTAATGGCAAGGATCCCCCGAGGGGCCGGGGCCGTCTCTGGGCGCAGCGGCGGCAGAAGAAGGGGAAGACACACGGAGGCCCGACACACACTCCGCCCCCCGGGGCCCGCCGCGCTGGGAGCCGGGCGGACGGGCGGGGGCGGCCCCCTGTCTCCCCCGAGCTGGCTGCTGTTACTGCCGGACTGTCCCGGTGCCCCTCGCAGCCGCAGCGCCGGGCGGGGACACACCGAGACTCCCGGGGGCCGCACCCAGCCACAGGCCGCACAGAGCCGACACGGCAGCGGCGCGGGGAGCATCGCCAGAGGGCCCGGGGAAGGAGAGGGGAGGGCCCTGGGCAGAGCCCGCGGGTTACTCCCCGGCACCCAGGAGCCGCTCGCACTGCACAGGCCGCGGCGGAGCGGACGCTGCCCGAGGGCTGGGGGGGGGCTCGGTGCTGCGCGGCGGCAGGTCTGCAGCCTCCTTTCTCCTTCCCTCCCGTGGTAGGGGAGAGGGACAAACGCAGCCGCCGCCGCGTCCCCCTCCCCGCCATTTGCCCGGACAAACCTCCGGCTGCCGATTCCTCTTCAGCCTCAGCGCCCGCGGGGAAGGATCCGGACAAACCCGGGCTGCGGACGGAGGCGGTCGCGCGCGCGTTCGTTCTCACCGCCTCCCTCAACGTCCGTTAAGATCGGCGGCGGCGCGCGCCCCCGCCATCATGCGCGCGCTCGGATGTGGGCGGCAGGGAACTCGAGCCGCGCTCCCCCTGTCCCGCCCTTCCGTTCCTCGTGCACATGCGCGAGAGAACGCCCTCCTCCCATCCCTTTCGCGCAGGCGCTGTTTCTCATGCGCGCCGGGCTGGGACCCAGGCGACTGACGCTGCTGTTGACCTCCGGAAACCGACTGCTTTGGGAGAGTGTGCAGAAGCAGGGAGATACGGGCAGTTCATTGCGGGGGTTGCTGGGACGGGGGAGGTCACGAGAAGGGACGAGTGCGCCTGCGCTCAAATCAAACCGGCGGGCGGGGGAGAGCGGAGGGCGGAGCGCGCCCCCTGCCGGCACACAGCGCTCACTGTAGCCCTGTAGCAAGCGCGTGACGCTGAGGTTCCCGCCTGCCAGCCTCCGAGCCCCCCGTCTTCCAGCCCTGCCTGGGCCTCTGGCTGCGCCGCCTCCGCGCCGCTCCTACCTCCCCTCGCTGGTCTGGCGCGGTCACATGATGTGCAGCGGGAAGGCGGGAACCTGCAGGGGGAGCAGGGGAGTGATAACTGGGGTGGCCTGGAGAGAAGAGGAAAGTCCCCTACAGTGATGGCCCAAGGATGAAAAGATCATGAGCTGGGCTTTAAAACCATCCGATTTTTCAAAATAATAAATGTTCGGTGCTCTGTGTCTGCCCTCTAGGGTTTGAGCCTTCAGGTTTCGCATTTTCCAGCTTTCCTTTCTACCCAGAGGAGAGCCAGCAATTAATTTACTTTGGAAAAGAAAATGGAAGCTGAGAGTCTTGCATGATCACACGACTCCAGGAGTTGGGGCTTAAAAAATATCCTGAGACTTGTGGTCAAAACAGCTGGAAACACTGCAACTAAGGGAGAGAGCAATCCAATGGGGAGGTGTGAGCAGAGTGAAATCATAGCTCCTGCCCATACAGAGCTCATTTCATGACTGGGGCCTCTATAGGGGAAACAGCTGACCACCATAGCGTGAGAAGACAAGTGAAAAAATTAGGGAGAAAGTTCCCTACTTAGATATAGGCTTTGTCTACACTGGAACCTGAACAATTTTGTCGTTCAGAGGTGTGGAAACTCCCCCTCCCCCCGAACAACAAAAGTTTTGCTGGCGAAAAGGGCTGGTGTGAACAGTGCTTTGTTGGCAGGAGAGCTCTCCTGCCGACAAAGCTACTGCCGCTCTTTGGGGGTGGAAGTTTTTTGTTGGCGGGAGAGCTCTCTCCTGCTGACAAACAGTGCCTACACTGTGTGCCTTTTAGCAGCACTGCTGTGTCATCAAAAGGTGCTTAGTGTAGACATAGCCATAGAGATTCCAATTCATCCACATCTCTCTCTCTCTTCCCATGTGAGTTAATCTCTCCATCCTCACATCATGCTTCTCTTTTTCCTCTCTGTCCCTGCAAAGAATGATAGGTGCTCTGTGATTCATTGAGATGTCTCAATGAAGTGACAGTTAGAATCCCCACATTTTTTAAAGACCCATGGCTGGATTGGGATCCCAATCATTTTTCTATCATTAATTTTCATACATTTCAAGAGTTGGAGTATATTTTGTTGGAGCAGACACACCTCCTTGCTTAAGCAGGTGGGATGTGAATTTCAGCTGTCTAATTCCCTGTGTTGACATATAAAATCATTAGTCTCTTACTTTTGTTAGTATTAACAGTGACTAATAAAATCAATAAATAAAATTTGACAAACTTTTTTTATGCTTTCTGAGGATTTTTTCACAAAAAGATTCTGTTTTGAACTGCAACTTTAAGTTCAGGACTGATCATATTTTGTTTTTGCCTGCGATCTACATGAGTTAGGTCACAATTCTTATACAGATTGAAAATAAAATGCATGGACGTGTTTGCAGGATTGGGGTACCCGTTTCCTGGAATCTTCTGCCTGGGTGTTGGAACACTTGCCGCTCTTCCTGCTCCCTCCATTGGCTACCACTCCCATTGATTGAAGGAAAAGGTCCCTGGATCACTATTAAATGAGCCGCAGGTGGAGAAGGGAGTGGAAAGTGGTAGTTCTGTTCCATAAACAAGGTGAGGTGAAGGCGTGGCTAGTCTCTTGCTGGGCTGCAAGCAGCAGCATGGACCTTAGTTTTGGGAGGACTTTGATGGGGGAGGAATAGCTTACCTTTGTAGGGCTTGCTTTCTTCAAAGGTCAAACAAGCCTTTTGGGTGTCTGGTCTAGAAGAGTGGGTGCAGTAAGAAGAGCATGTAGGTTCATGGTGGCTAGTTAATCTGTGTTGAAACTGTGTTCTAGATGGAATCTGAAGGAAAGAGGACTGTGCCCTGAGTGCTTTTCTTTCTTCTGAGGAGTGAGCTGTGTACCAATCTGTAACAGGTTGTTGGTTCAACTTTTGTCATTTACTTTTATGAAGTCTTTAGCTCATCAAAATGTCTGCCTCACTTCATACCAGCTAGTGCCAACTGTTTTACTTTCTAACCCCTCTTTTACCGCTTTGTAAGTTAATTGTGGACAGTAAGGTGCTTCTTGTGCAGGTTGTTTCAGAGGGGCTTGGTGGTATATAGTTTATAAAAAAAAGTTTAACTCTGCTCATCTAGAAAAGAGAAAAATTCTGTTGTGGTTTTGTTTTGGTTTAAAAAAAACAACACCCCAGAATCTAGAGAAGAATGGATGAAGTTGGTGGGTTTTTTGTTATATGCTCATAAGTGGTGTGCATAAAGACTGTCTTGCTTTTTGTCATGTGGCTGCCTAGTGAGACAAATGACAGCTGAGTGTCAAACTTCTTGGCTTGATAGAAAAATCAGGTTTACTATCTCTAGATATTACCGTGGACTTCATATCTTCTCTCCTAATGGGGGCAGAAATGAACGGCAGTGAAAATTTTCAAGATGGAGTCAGTTGCATGGGTGTGGGAGAATGTTTTATTTTTTTAACTTGGACGCTTTTTAGTCTGTTCATCCCTGCAATACTATGATTTGTTTAGAAATGTGATCTGTCATCTCCCTGGGTAGTTTTAAAATGGCAAATCCTGATAACTTTTTGTCTTTCAGCTTAAAAAATGAACACTGCTCCAGCTTCAGAAAATGGACCATATTCCACAAACCACACAAGACCCTTTTTTTATGCGCAGCCAACAGCACAACAACCTTTCCCAAATCCATGGTACCTTAGTCATCTATATAATCCATACTGTGTACCTGCCCCAGGTAAGGCAAAATACAGCCATCTGAGGAAAACATGCTTTTTGAATTACTACCTGAGTGAAGGAAATGCAGACTTTATATTAAAGCTCCTTTTATCTGTTGTGTAACTTTTGTATTTCCCCAATATCATGAAGCCTAGAATTAGTGTATAAACTGAAGGCATCTCTCTTAAAATGTGCTCTCCTTGTCTATTTGTTCAGCTATATTGTAAACTGGTGTTTGATGTCTGTTTCATGAGTGGGGCAACACCAACTGAACTGGACAAGAAGAGTAAGTTTCTAGGAAGAGTTTGGAAACAGAAGCAGGCAGTTTCAGCAACTGGCAACAATAGGAAAGCACATGTATAAAGGGGATCACTACTATATCCTTTGCCTATGAGGAATGTTGAGTAAAATCAGTTTGGCTAACTTCAGTCAAGGCAGAAACCTTGACGTAACTCAGTGCTGAACTGTAAGATAGTGCTGGTTTTGACACCTTAACAGATATGGAATGAGTACCCTTGTGTGGTAAGTGCCTGTTCATATTTACAGTTTGTGGAGAATGGGCATTGATGAACAGACTGACTTGCCCGAGGTTCTACAGGAACAGTGTGGCAGAGCTGAAATAGAAACTATCAGTCAACTTCCAGTCTCCAACCAGTTTCATGTTTGGGACACTTCTCTCACTGTGGTGCCTGTTAAAAGGTTCCATGCCAAAGCCTGCATTGTCAGGGATATTAAGTGGAGGAAAATGTCACTTGAGCATTGTCTGGCAGTGGCTACAAAGATTTTTAGCTAAAAACTAAACTACTGCTTTGACATCATATCAGAAGTATGACATCATAATGCACATTCTCCCTAATAGGCGCAGGGACTACTGTGGTGGGGTTGCTGCTGGAACAACTTCGGGTTCAAGAGAAACTGCAAATGCTTCATTGAATTGTACAGCAAAATCCTCCAAACTCCCATTGCCTTAAGGCAATGAACGATGTGGGGAGGGGAGGGACTATATGGAGGTTTCTAAAAATTGAGTGGCATTTTTTTAAATAGCCCGTGTACTGTAATAGCAGGGCAAAGGCAGAGTTGAGAACGTTATGCCTGAAGCTTAACTAAATGCACAAGGCAAGTAAAGCTATTTCAATCTTGTTTCTAGCAATATAAATTCTAGCAAGTATAAATCTGACTCCATAATAGGCTTTCAATTGCTTTTTTTATTGGTATTGATGGCTTTCTGATTAGTCTTGGCTAATATGAGACTGCATAGTATCGGAGGGGTAGCCGTGTTAGTCTGGATCTGTAAAAAGCGACAGAGTCCTGTGGCACCTTATAGACTAACAGACGTATTGGAGCATAAGCTTTCGTGGGTGAATATTTATGCTTATGCTCCAATACGTCTGTTAGTCTATAAGGTGCCACAGGACTCTTTATGAGGCTGCATAGTTTCAAGTAGAAACTTCTAGTGAACATCAGATGATCTTATTAAAATGCTCATAACACACCTTAAGAGTACATACTATTGCTCAATAAGTGCTTGCCAATGCATATATTAATTGAATTTCTAACTGTAGTTAGAGCTGTTCTTTAAGAGGCATTCTAATAGACAATAACTTAATAGATAAAAGCTCCAGCAGTTTGGATGGCAAATTAAATCTCATGCTTCAGGAATTAGGAAGAAATGTAACCTATAGGCATATTACCCTGTAATTGCCAACCTATGGAGTTCTTGCACTCTCCTCTTAAGTATTTGGTACTAGACAATGTTGGAGGTGGGATATTTAACTAGATAGCCCACTGGTGTGAGCTAGCATGGAAGTTCCTATGTACCTAATGGATTCTGATGACTTTCAGCTTTTATTTCAGAAGATAGTGCTGTTTATATAGACAAATGCATATCTCTCTCCTTTCCCTCTTCAATATCTCTAGGTTTCAGAAGTGGAAATCCATATTTTCCATTTTATTCTGTTGCACTACATGAGTACCCTGGATATCTTGTTCCACAACATCCCATGCACACAAGAGTTAACAGAAGACCTTATTTTAATGTTCCCCCACCCTCTCCTCTGTTTTATCATGCAACAAGGTTTAGACATTATAGTGGACCTGGGAAAAGAACAGTGACTAAAGAAACACAGACTGATCCTAGACAGCCTGAAAACAAACCAAAAAAGCATCAGGATCTCCGTACAGAAACTAAAGGCTGTGAAGCAGGAAATATAGGCTGTGTTTCTTCTGGTATGGGTACAGAAACGGAAAGTACTTCAGTGAAACAAGATTCATCTGGATCGTCTCTTGTGCCAGAAAGAGACTTTCAAAATAAGGGGTCTTCCAGCTCTTCACAGTATAGAAACATTCCTTCAGGAAGCTATGCTTTTGAGAAAGAAGAGGTCCGAATCGAGTATGGAAATGGCTCACCTGCAATTCAGCTATGGAAGTCCTTTAAGGAAACTATTCCTCTGTATGATGTGGCAAGTGGTAAACCAGTCCCAGAGAATATCGTGCAACGTGACTTATTTTCTGTTAGCTCTTGTGAAGGGGTAATATATAGCCCTCATGAAGGGGAGGAATTGGTGTCATGCGCTTCTTATTCAGATGAACGAAAAACTGCTCTTTCTTTGAAGCAGAGTGGTGAAGATGGGCAGGAAAAAGAGGTCCAAAATAATGAAGTAAAACTAGATGCAGAAAAGCCGGGAAATGCAAGCCAAAGGGCAAAATCTCCTCTAGGTGAAGCCAGGGCAATGCAAATTGCTGAGATAGCCAGAACTGTTCGTAATGATCAGCTAGTGGCAAGGCAGGACACATCGTTTAAAAAATCTAGTTTGAAAAGATCTGCTGCTTCAAAAACTTCTGAAGAGGAGTCCAACCTTGATCAGCAAGCAGGATTATTTCCATCCAGTACGGAAATAACACATGACTCAAGTCCACTGCAGAAAAAGCTAAATCAGAGCCACAGTCCAAGCAACGTAAGTCAGATAACGGATAAAAGCTTATGGTGTGAAGAATCTTTGGAGAAGTATGTTCCTTCTAACAGCTGGCTAGCTTGCGTGGATGACATGGACGCTAACTACAACTATAATATGTGTTTGCCACAAAGGAAACGTCAAAGTGTACTCAGTCTGTCTTCTGATGAAATGTCTTCTAAAGATGAAGGATCATCGACTGATGATGTACCAGTGTCTTATTTTGTCCCTGATTATGTGCTTCAGAAGAGCATGTACGCTTTCCAAAAAAGTACAGAGGGCTCAGAGAAAGAGAAAATTAGAAGTGGTGGCTCCCTTAATGAAGATGAAGTGGTAGGAAGGGAGCAGACCAATGTTGTCAATAGCCAGAACTTCAAAAGCTGTTCAAAAGTGAAGATTAAAAAGATGGCCAGCAGAGGTAGAAAGATTGGGGTCCTCCCTAGATCGTCTGGTCAGAAGAAAATCTACTCCCTAAAGAAAAAAGCTGCTAAGAGTTTGTCTCTGTCAGAGGCTGAAGACTCTGAAGAATACTTTGTGGCAGAGGAAGAGGGTGACAACGAGGATGAAGATGATGAAGTTGAATATTTCTTTCAAGAAGCCACTCCATATGGACACTTCACCTCTGGTAAAGGCAGTTTCTACAGACCGATTGGCCAGAGGGTGCTTTGGAAACCACCTAAAAATGCCATACCAGCTCACTTGATTAGCTGGCCTGCTCGGGAGAAAATAAAAACAAAGAGTGGGTTCTGTGAACGCACTGGTCTGGCTTATAAGTCAAGTGAGAAGGAACAGGATGAGGTTGTGTACAGTGATTATGGGTACTATGGAAAAAAGAGGCTTATAGCAAAACAAGAGGGATCTGACCATAAGAGAACTTCACAGTCTTCAAGAGGTGAGTTAATATGACTGGGATAAAAGTGCTGTGGGATCATAATTTGGAATACTTTGCAGCATGTGTTAACTCTCTAATTCCAAGTGCTAGCTGTATTCCCTAAAACTGCGAAAGCTAAGAGAGAGAATGCAGTAGCTTTCCTAAGTGACTCTTAAAGAATTGTAGCACTTCTTCTGGTCTTTAGTTAAAGAACTATAGTGAACCTACTACAACAAAAGGAAGTCTTTTTTTTTTTTTTTTTTTTTTTTTCACACAACGCACAGTCAGTCTGTGGAACTCTTTGCCAGAGGATGTTGTTCTGAAGGCCAAGACTATAACAGGGTTCAAAAAAGAACTAGATAAGTTCATGGAGGATACGCCCATAAATGGGTATTCGCCAGGATGGGCAGGGATGGTGTCCCAAGCCCAGTGGTGGGCAACCTGCAGGCTGCACACGACCCATCAGGGTAATCCACTGGTGGGCTGCCAGACAGTTTGTTTACATTTTCACGGCCGCCCGCAGCTCCCAGTGGCCACAGTTTGCCATTCCCGGCCAATGGGAGCTGTGGGCAGCCATGCAAATTTAAGCAAACAGTCTGGTGGCCTGCCAGCGGATTACCCTGACGGGCCATGTGCAGCCTGCAGGCCACAGGTTGCTCACCACTGCCCTAGCCTCTGTTTGCCAGAAGGTGGGAATGGGTGACAAGGGATGGATCATTTGATGACTAACTGTTCTGTTCGTTCCCTCTGGGCCTTGGCATTGGCTACTGTCAGAATACAGGATACTGGGTTAGATGGACCTTTGGTCTGACCCAGTGTGGCCGCTCTTGTGTTCTATTTTTGCCTTGTGTATAGCCAGCAAACTTTTGACTAAGGCTAAATATGAAGTCTTTAATATTAGTAGACAAGGTAGAACTTTTTTTACCCAAGGTTGAGCTTCAAGTGATGTCGGCTACTAAACAACTTACACTGTGGATTGATCCTCATTTAATCTTTTTGACTTGGATAATACACTTGTTCATTTATTTAACAAGTTAAATTTATTGGAAGTCACTCTTGTTTGCCACTGTCAAATGGCATCTTGGCAATATAATCTCTTAAATTTGTGTAAACACTGGCTACTATACCATACCCCCATGTTACAAAATGGGCTCAGCTACGGTGGGGGAACTTTCTTATAAACTGATGACGCTAGCTGATATAAACCATGTTTCCTGTATCTATAGTAGGGGAGTAGAGGCCACTCAAGTCAGTGTGCTGCCCCTCAAACTTGGCCCAACTATTCCTCTGTGATGACTACAGTTGAGGGGTGGAGAATGGCCAGGCCAGATTTGAGTGAGTGGTGTTGTAACTTGGCACATGGGTTTATAATGCAACTCAGGTTTGGCCCAGCCACCCCCTCCGTTATGACAGAGGAGTGGCTGGGCCAAGTCTGCTGCCCTCAGCAGTTGCTTAGCTTGCTTAAAACTAGAGGAACCTCTGCAGGAGAACCAAAATATTGAAACTTCAGATAAACTACTGCTTCCTTTTAATCTAACTTGTTGAAGACAACTAAACAGTTCTAGCACAATTTAGTTTAAAGTTGTGCTAAACTCCTCTTGGCCTGGGAGAGAATATTTCCTTTAGTTAGAAACAAAGACAAGCAAAGTCAACTTCAGATAACTGAGTTCCTGTGACACTAGCTAGTTAGTGTCACAGGAACTCAGTTATCTGATCAGTCTATTAATTACAGTAATTCTGCTCTTTCTTCAAAAGCACTGCCATAAATTGCCATGATATACTAGTATAATCAAGCAGTAATTGGTTCCATGTGAGGTTTTGCAGCCTTTTCACAATATCTATCAAATTTGGTAATACATAAAGGTACAATATGATAAACATGCATATTGAGTCTAATAAACAACATTTAAAAAAACCATGAACTGGGGCCCAGCTACCAGTGATTGGTATCCATATAAATATTAGATTTAAAAAAAAAAATCTTCAAATATTGGCCTCAGTGGACTACACGTTTTGCCTCTGTATTGTAGGTCAGCTGTAACAAGTCAGTATGGTAATGTTGCTTACAGTAGATGCTTATTGATATTCTTCCAATGTCTTACTATGTTTTAATTAGTAAGGTTACTAAAGGAAAACATGGGGCTGACAGCTGATGAGTACTGGATTAGAAGTGGTGCTAAACCCAAGTTTGCCAGCTTGATATGTGGTAGCCTATCATCCCCAACCAAAAGCAAAGAACAAGGTACAGCTGATTTCTTGTCACACCTCAGATCCTCTTCCCTTAAATCTTCAAAGAAACTGTTTTCAGCAGAATACTTTGCCATTTTGGTGGGATATTTAACCTATTGCTTTGAAGGAAATACATGTTGGTTGTGGTCTTGCTACTCCATGATGTGGCTCAGATAATCTATAAATCTGGCTGCTCTGCAGGGGAGGGAGTCTGCATATATAGAGAGAGTTGGGGTGGTTGTGGTGGACAAAACTTTTATTTTAAAGCTACAGCAGTATATCTTAATGTGGCAAGAAATGATGCCTTGTATCAATGCAGTCTTTACTAGGACGATGTATTGCTACATAGTTAAGATACTTGAACCCTGTCCTAGCTAGGGACATAACTCTTCTGTGCACCCTCAGCAGCAGTTCATTACTCTCTTGACAAGTGAATTCTACAGCTAAACCTCATGTTAGCACCTATGCAGGTACTGCTTTTAGAAAATGTTGGTTATAGCTGTTGATCCACACTAATTGTATAGAGTGGCAGAACGGTGTGTGGGGAAGAGAGAGAATCCTTGCTTCAGGAAAGAGAGTAAAAGTTATTAAATACTATAAACTTAAGTGAGAGCCTGTCTTAAGTGAAAGCTAAATATTCTGAATTGCTTGAAAAAGTAATAATGCTACTTTTATTTGGTCATTCAGGTAATCTGCTTTTGGATAAACCAAAAAGGAAAAGGATAGGCAAACCCCCTTACAAACGTAGAGACACAAGATGTGAGGCAGAAGACATTGAAGTATGGGAAATGCCTAAACCCAGTGCACACAAAGGTTAGCATACTATTATATGCCATGAACACTAGATATGTTCTAGCAGTAACTGTAAGTTTACTGCTGTGTTTTTTTGTTTGTTGTTTTTTCTTTCCCCTCTTGGATTATCTACATTCCAAACATGAGTACCTTTTTAGATACTCCTTTACTCCTTGGTCATAAAAGAACTTTTTGACCCCGTCACTCTCTACTACAAAGCATCTTTCCGTCCTTAAACTATAGGCTTCCAAATTTTTATTTTAAAAAACAATGGTTGGCATTTCATATCACACTAATGGTACTATAGTTTGTTTTTTTAATGCACTGTATGCTCTGGAGCAGGGTCTTTTATTGTTAAAGACAAAATAGAGATGTAACAAACTCAAGTGATTGAACAATTAAGTTTGCACATGTCTTAATTCCAAGGTCTTTAATCTTATACCAATTAATATGTTCTAATGTGACTTTATGAAAGCATTGTGAGTTAAGAGTAGAGATCCATGGTTGTTAGAAGCTAGCTCAAAGAGGTGAGACTCTCCTATGGGACATTTGGTGAGGGAGAGCATAGTTGCTTGACCAAATGGAGGAAGAAGACTGTTCATGTGTAGGGAATATCATGAAGGAAAAAACTCTCTCCCACCTGAAACTGGTTTTCCACAATAAACCCTCCTAACATGAACAGTATAAACCAATGGCGTGTTTGAAACTGTCTGCAGTCTGAAAGAGTAGTTTAGAGGAGCAAGTGCCTGACTAATCAAAATCATTGTGGTCCCAAAGCCTAACTATGACTTAAGATGTGCACAGTGATGACATTTCACTCCTGATCCTTTTTAGGAGGAGTATTCAGTCAGCTTGTACATTCCAAACTGCCTCCTGTATTTCCCTGCTAATGCCAAAAATGGCCCATGTTTCCAGCCTGCCGCCTTCAGTTTCTGCAATGCATTTATGTATTCCTGATAGTCCTGCAACAAAATTAAGGAACGAAATAAGATAACTTAATATCAAACCAGTAATGCAAGGAATTTTATACTAACTGGTTCAACAAACCATCTTTAAAATAATCGATTTCTAATCTTCTGTACTAGTGTTATACAATCCAGAATCTGTGCTGCAGAACCGAGGTCTGCAGAGCTGGTGGGACTTCAGTATGTCTCAAACTCCTAGTTTACTTCCTGCAATAGTATAGCTCACTTGCTAGTTGCCTATTTTAAAGGAAGACTTTACAACAAGCATCAGTGAAGGGAAAATGCATATGTTTAAAAACTAAATCTCTCAATTTTTCTCTTTTCTTTTAGGGTGTGGATCAAAGAGGTCTCTCTACAAAAGAAGATAATCTGACTATTGCAAATGCAAGGGGAAAATCTGATTACAAATGCTGGGGGAAGAACACAAACATACTGAGGTTGCATGTCTCTTAATCTTTAAAATGAGTCCATAAGTAACTTTTTTGTTTTGTATAAATCTTTCTAAGCTACTATGCACAGTTAAAGGGTAAGAAGTAACACTGTAAAGAGTTGGAGTACACCATATAAAATATTAAATGAAAGGAACACTTGAAATAAAGCACTCTAAATTGTAAATAAGTACACTCACTTATTGCTTAAAAGCAATAAAGTTAACAGAATTGCACTGATGTGTGGGTTTTCTTTCCTGACTACTGTACTGAAGCACAAATCTAATGTAGGGATGGGTTATCTGTACTAGTAAACACCTAAGCAACTGGACTTACTTTCCTACCTTCCTACCATATTGTTCTAAACTCTGTGCTAACTTCAAAGCTTGTTTTTTGTAACCCCAACTTCAATGCTTCTTTTCAGAGGTCAAGACTTCAGGAAACTAAATTTCTCTACCTTCAGAGAATAGAACAGTGGGGATGATTGTCAGAGTGTCCGGAGTGTCTTTCAGGAGTCCAGCCATGACTTTCCCTGAGGTCCCCTCTCCTGTAGGAAAACTAGGTCTAGGATAGTTGAAAGATTAATCCTCAGTGGAGAATACTAATGACAAAACAACTCTT